GCCCGGGGCCGGGGCCGGCCCGGCCCACCGGTGGCCCGGCGCGCACACCGAGCACACCGCCGGCCCGCCAGTGCACAGGGCACACGACCCGTCGCAGGCCATGCACCGGCCGGGCCCGACATACTCGCCCGGGGCACAGGTGCTGCCACAGAGGGACCCGACCGAGGGATTGGGCGACAGGAAAACCAGCCCCGGGCGGCAGAGGCTGCAAACCCCAGGGGAGGTGCACTCATCGCAAGTCATCGGACACGCATGGCACTTGCTGGCGTCCGGGTCGTGGTACCATCCAGCCGAGCAGGCACTGCAGGCGTCGGTCCCGGTGCAGGCGGTGCAGCCATCTGGACAGGCCGAGCACTTTCGGTCAACCCCATTGGCCCAAGTGCCCGGTGGACAGGCCGCAAGACAAAGCCCACCATGCTCGAAGAAGCCCAGGGCACAGCCATCGCAGGCGGCCTCATCATCGGGAAAGCGACATGCCCGGCAGCTGTCGTGACACGGGAGGCAACGATCGGCCAGGGGATCAGACACATCCAGGGCCAGCCCGACCGCACAGTCGGTGCAGTAGAACCGGTTGAGGCTGGTATCAGCCTCGCATTGGTCGCAGTCCTGGTGGCAGTCGCATGTCCGAGTGTTGGGGACCTGGTGGAGGCCGGCTGGGCAGCTGGCCAGGCACACGCCCGGCAAGTGTCCCGGGGCCGCGAGATGGCACTCGATGCACTGGCTTGGCAGGGACCCGAAGCAAGTGTGGCAGGTATCATGGCAGGGCAGGCAGTCGGGGAGATAAATCCCCGGGCCAGCGCCAGGGCACAGGGCCACCGTGACATCCACTCGGAAGGGAAGGACATTGTCCTTCAGCAGCACCATGAAGGAGGCCGTCAAGATGGAGGGCCCCAGGGAGGTGGCCTGGCCGGCGACACCCATGGGGGGCGTTATTCCCGAGGATGGCGAAGGCACGGCAACAAACATGGCAGCGGCGGTCAACAGGAGTTCCTCCGGCAGGGTGACTTTCCGAGCAGGCAGGAAGAAGCAATTGGCCCGGTCCGGCTCACAGTGGAGGATGGCCATGGCGAAGAATCTGTCCACCATCAGCACAAGCATCCCCGGAGTCAGGGGCATGCCCTCCAGAGGAACGGCCTCGATGCGGTAATCGTCCGGGGTATCTGCCAGCGCCAGCAGGGTGTGCGATCGACTGGGCAATCCGGCAGTCTGACCGCGAGGAGCCCACCCCCCGGGCAGATGAGACACCGTCCAGAGGGTGCCCATTCCATTGGGGTCGGCTTCCAGACAGCTGGCCAGGAAGTCGCCCGTGGATTGGCCGGCTCGGCTGGGAGTCGGCAGGACCAAGGGCCGAAGGCCCGCCGGCTTGTTCCTGGCGAACACATTCATCCGCACCGAAGACAAGCGCAGGTCATTTGCCAAATGCATGGCCAGCGGCGACACCGTTAGATTCCCGTGGGAATCGCTGAGAACCATGAGCTGGGCATCCCCAGCCGACGAGGGACCCGGCAGGAGGACCGGCAAGCCGGGCCCCCCGAAGAGGGGCACCTGGGAAAAGCTCCCGCCTGAGGAGAACCGAAAAAGCCGGGTCCCCGTGCTGTCGGTCACGGCAATCGTTCGGCCATCCGCAAAAGCCGCAATCGCGTCACATGGTCTCTCGTTCTGTGACGACAGAGACAAGTCAGCCTTGCAGGGCGTGCCCACAGGGCCCACGGGGACCGATAGACATTTCAGCCAGACGAAGGACAGGCCCGCGCTGCTGCAATAGACAACCACGGCGTCGTGGTATCCCGACTCGGAGCTTGGTTGGAGGATTTCGATGGCGCCCCGGAGGCTGGACTGGCCCATCGACGGCCAATTCCCCGGGGCAATGGCATCAACCGACTGGAGGTTTTCCTCGGCGACCGTGCTCATGGGGGTGATCAGTAGGGGCAGGCCGCTGGACCGGAGGCCAAGCAAACGCGGGGGCCGGACGTCCTGGCTCCAGGGCAGGTACACGGCTCCCGCCTGCACTAGAAGCACCGTCGGAAGGAGCACATCCACCGGGTCCTGTCCGGCCGGGTTCCAGGCGGTACCGCTGACCGTTGCCTGGGTGAAGCTCACATCCGATTGGATGCGAGTGCCGATGCTGGCATCTTGGCATACATTGCCCACGGGCTGGAGGCCGGTCGGGCAGCTTTCCAGACAGAATGTTTGATCCGAGATGACAACCAGATACCCAGTCAGGCAAACCAGGCACTCGCCAGTGCTGGAGTCGCATGTGGCACAATTAGGTGTCGAGCAGGCTGTGCATGCGACAGCTATTCAAGGGGCACACAGAGAAGGGGAGGGAGGAGCATCCGGGCGCGAGGAGAGTTTCCGATGGGGCGCTTGAGGTTAGCGACATAGTGTGTGTCCCTATTGTTGGGGAGGGGGGGGCTTTTGTCATGTTTTCCTGACCCCGCGCCTCCTCCCCGGCATACGTTTCCGCTCGCGTTCACACACACACACACACACACACACGGAAGGCTGGCAAAAGAAGATAGCCACCAGCCGTACCCCCATTCGGATTGAGGAAAGCCCCAAAGCCGTCCCGGCAGGCATTGCACAGACGCTCGCCCTTGCCAAAGATGCCGGGGACCCTGCCGGTATTGCATGTCCAGCCGGAGCTGCTGCTTGAAAGGCAAGTAATTGACTCATCCCCAGGGAGGGTGTTGGCCGGATCGCCGCAGCCAAAGTCCACCGGGTCGAAGTATGCCCGGGAGTTGGCCAATACGAGCCGCACAGCGTCCGAGTCATCGATTCGAAGGAACATCGGCCTGAGGGCCTCCAGGTCGGTGGCGCCGGTCGGGAAAAGTACCGACCGCACGCGGATCAGTGTGCCACTGGGGGCAAACTCCAAGCGCCAGAATTTTGGCCCGGCGATGCCGTCGTCCCGGTAGAAGGCGATCGAGGTGCGGGCCCCATCAACCAGTTCATGACTGAAGGGGGCCAGGATTTGTCCGGGAGCAAAGTCCGGCTGCGGCATCCCCTCGCCCAGGGCCCCATTTACAGGCAGCTGGCCATCCCGCAGCACATGCCAATGACCCCCCTCCATCAGAAGGAGCAGGTCCTCGCTGTCGGGCCCGGTGTCTGATGAGAGTCTGGTTGGCACAAGATCAAGGATCACCGCATTCAGTAGAGATCGGTCTACATCCACGGAATTGTCATCATACGAGTAGGTGAGACGCAGCAGGTTCTTGTGCTGCCAGATATAAAACACGCAAGGATCGGCAGCACGCGCAGCGCGCATGGCACTTCCCGGAAGCACGCCACCGGGGAGCATGGGGGAGATTTCTTTGTGGTGGCTGCTATTAGCGAACATGTGCACGAGAAGGAAAAAAGAGTTTGGCAGGAGAGTAAGGAGGATGGCTTGGTTCGGGCGCGGAGATGATGTCGCAAGCAGCCTTCCCAAGGCTTGGCTGGGGAAACTCAGCGGAGAGTTGCCTGTGGAGGAGAAGAGACGAGCCTCTGCCGGTCCAACTGCCAGCAGCAAGGGGGAATCGCCCGGACTTGACAGGATGTGTCGTTCCCAACCGGCGGGGAAATCCGCTCCCCCGGGGGGGTAAAAGGCCTGGCTCGCCTGGTTCGGATTGAAGGCAAGCCCGAGGCGAAATTCCCCAGCCGCGCCGAAGGAGATGTAATCCTGCTGGAAGATCTCCACCTTGGACTGGCCAAAGAGCACGGCACCCGTCGGAAGTGAGCCGGTTGCTTGGAGAAGAATGCCCTGAGCGTCACCCATGAGCGAATGCGGCGCTTGGCAGTAGGCCACGTCTTGCGCGTGCGAGGTAGTCGCAGCGATGATGACAAGGGCCAGGAGGCGGATCAGGTGCATCAGCACCGGCTGTTGGCCCACCATGGCAGCCCGGGGAGCGAGCTAGTCGAGGACAGGGACACGGGGGAAAGGGGGAGGGAAAAAGAACACAAGGGGAGGGGGGGGGGAGTGTCTGACCAACGGCCTGGTGGGCGGCGGGCTCCAAGGGGGTTGGTTTTTCGTTGTTGCTTTTTCCCCCTGGAACTGGCCGCTTTGGCTCCGGACAGCCACCAAAGGCCCGGAGTGATGCATGCCCCCTGCGTGTAATCCTCCGGGCATTCGAAAGGGGGGGGGGGGGGCCGGGGGGATGGAAAAGCTCCTGGTGCTCCTGGTGACTCGGGAATGAGCGCGAAGAGCAGGCTGGCGGCGTAAACGACGAGGGTTTCCGGGGATGGGTCGAGACCGTCCACGCCGAAATGAGCGAGATTGGCTGGCGTCTGCATGCATTGGGAGTTGCAGGGGGCCGCGATGGGAGGAGACGCGTGCGACGCGTGCTAATTTGACAATCGCCCAGAGCGAATTTGCATGTCACCTCTGGCAGTAATACCAGCCATGTTGTTCTTGCGGGGCGGCCCAGCGTGGCCGGGCGCACGTGTTCGAGTCCCAGGCCAGCTGCAGCAGGTCCTCAAAGCGCGACTCGGGCCCGAGCCCCCCACGGCCGGCCGCGCTGGGCCGCCCCCCCCCGGCCAGCACCTGCGCGGCGAACAGCCACCCATAGGGGCCATATGTCTCGACGCCGATGCCCAAGCAGCAGAGCAAACACGCGTCCTGCCCCCTGCCTGGATCCCCGGGAACCACCGCCAGCCGGGCACACGCAGATGCCGGGACCGAAGGAGACAGTGCAACTTCAAGCGGCCAGCCCGCAGGCCATATGTCCCCCTCGACGCGCATGTCGCTGCCCCCCCCCCCCCCCCGGCGGGGCGGCGGCCCGGGGTCTCTGCGGTACTGGCGCGGGGAGCAGGGGTCCGGATGGTCCGCCCCCTTGGAGGCGTTGCATGCTACTGTGTCCCATGACTAGGCCTGCCGTGAGAGCATCAGTCCGCCGGTGCGTTGACCATTGCCGGGAATGACGGGCGCCCGTTCGCGGCGCTGCTCAGCCACCTGGGGCCGCAGCACTGCCGGCCTGGCAGGGCGAGCGGCCTGCCGGGAGGCATCGGCCGGGAAGGGACCGGCACCGGCGGCCGGAGATACCGCACCGGGTATGGCGCGTCCGGGAGCCGCCAGCCAAGCTCGGACACCCCAACCGAGCAGCTGGGACCACTCGGAGCGCCCGGTCTTCTCGTGCCGCAGAGCGCTGGCAGGCCGCCTGCCTTCGACGGGGAATGCGCCCGCCCGGCCAGGTGCCGGCCTGCCAGGCAAGGATCTCCGACAGGCAGACGCCAGATGCTTGCGACTGGCGGTGGCCCTGCCGCGCAGGGCCCGAGTCGTCAGCCTCGCCTGTCGCACGCGAGCTTGACCATTATCTCGGCCCGGCTTCGGGGGCTGGGGTCCCGCGTCCGGGCCCCGGCGCATGCCTGCCGGACCACCAGTGCGACACACATGGGCCATGGACCAGGAGCACAGCCAGGGACAACAAGCCAACGAGCAGCCCGCCCCCTGCGTGAAGGCGCATCGACGGCCCCACCCATGGCGCAGGCCCGAGTGGGATGCGCCGCACTGCCGGGGCCTGAATGAGGCCCATCGCCAGGGCATGGGGCTCGGTGCTCGAACAACCAAGGTCTCGCGAAGGGCGGCGGCCCGGGGGGGGGGGAAGAGCCCGCTCGGCCCCTCCATCACAGACGCCAGAGCGACGCCCATCCCCCGACACGATGGCCTGCCGCCGAGACCCGGAAGGGAATCTCGGCCCCAGGACATGCGGCCGGTCAAGGGAGCGTCGGAATGCCGCGGGAGCCGGAGGGGAGGGGGAGCTGGCGCCCTGGCTGTCCAGGAGCCATTCTGCCCGGCGCGCCCATTCCGCGGGAACACCACAGCCCAAGCGCGTCAGCGACTTTGCCGCGACATCTCCCGGGCGCATGTCCGCGTCGCACCATGTCCCGCGGCATCGAGGCGCACACTTGGCGAACGAGCGGGGCGAAAAGAAAAAAGCGCGACCGCCACTCGCGACGGTGCACCCGAGCGGGACTGGGCAGCCGTGCCCACCGGCAGCCAAGGAGGAGTCCACCCCCCGGCGCCCGACAGGCCGACATTGGCGCCGGTGCCCCGGCTGGACGTGCGCCAGATGCCGGGGGGGCCGGCTGGCGCCACGTCGATTCCCGGCCCACGGCATGCGCCCCGTGCCGACAGTGGTCCGTGCCGCAGTCCAGCAGGGAGGGAATCGGGGCAGGGGGGCAGGCCGGCATGGGGTCGCCGGGACCGACACCCGCAAGCTGGTCCGCCACGATGGATGTCCAGACAGGCCCGGTGCGGGGGAGAAGGCCGGGCTCGTGCCCAAAGACCCGGGGCGAGGTTCGGGCTGCCCATGCAATCTGTCTGACCCCCTGGCCGAGAGACCAGCCGGCATGCTTCGGGCAGAAGACCCGGCCACCGGTCCTGAGCCAGCCAATGAAAATGACGACTCGCACGCGGTCCATCGATGGCGCCCAGACACGAGGCGCCATCGATCCGAAGGAGATGTCACCGGTGCCCGGGGCTGGCCATGCGGCGACGAAGGCCACAGCTGAGGGCTGGGCCAAATTGCCCGAAGCCTGCCAAGCCCACGGGCGGCCGATCAGCCACGTGCATTTTCCTGGCACCTTCCCCGAGTGGTCCTTCCCTCGAATGCACAGTCGGTGGCCGACATCGCAAGAGGCCGACGCTGACCGAGACCCGCCGGGTGGCCGAGGGGAACGCGACCCCGCATCGACATGTCGGCTGGAGCCTTGTCACCGGCGAGGCGCGGCGGGCCGCCCCATTGTCGCGCTTGTCCGGCAGCATGGCGGCCAGGCGCCTGGCTGCCGCGCCTCCACCAGGGACCACCATCGGAAGCTGCCCATCCAGCTCGGAAGTCCCCCCTTCACGGGGGCGCACACGAGCCGCATGGCAGTCGGCCGGGCGTGCCGGGTGGGCACTGGCCCAGCGGACGCGCTCTCGGCCACTGGGCATTCGCGGGCTCGGCGCCCGGGCACCTTTGCTGCCACCCCGGCGCAGGGTGCCTGCCTCGTCTTCGGGGAAACAGCCGGACCAGGGCATGGCCCCGACAGCAGGCCAGCCGCCGGAAGAGAGGAACGACCATCGGTCGGGTGGATGCCGGCGGCGCGAGCTGCCTGGCACCGAGGCACCAGGGGGAAATGCCCACCCGGCTGTGGGAGCCCCGCCCGAGCGGCATCCAGCCGGACCATCTGCCCGGGAATGCTGCCGACCTGGCGGGGACAGAAGGAACCTCCCTTGAAGGGCATGCACCATTGGCCCTCAAAAGGGCTGGCCCCTGGGACAGAAAGGGGCCCAGTCCACGGCGTGCACCAGGTCAGGCTGCTTGAGCGGCCCCGGCCGATGGGAGATCTTCCGCACTCCCCCCGCCCCTTTCCTGGCGCAAGCCCAATCGTCCCACGGATGGCCGAAATGCAGGACACAGGCCCAGCAAGCAGGGCACCGTGGGTCGTTCCCGAGGGGAGCCATCCGCAAGAACCGTCGAACAAACCCAGGCTGCGCCGGCCATTCTCGACAAATAGCCAGGAATCCCGCCTCCCGGGAAATCGGCCCCGAGGCAGGCATGCCGTGGAGGCGTGGAGGCGACAGCCCGACACTCGGTCGAGGCCGCACGCGCAGGCCGCCAAGCCGGAACTCGGGGCAGGGACCCGAAACAATGGCGCCGGTGAGGCGCCCCTCCGGCGGTGGTGGAAAATGCTCGGCCATGCCGCGGGGAGATCGCTCGGAGGACCCCGCCCGCGGGGGCGGCGCCCAAGCGAGGCCCCCTGGATCCGGTGGCGCACCGGGATGGAGCCAAAGCACGATCCATTGGCAGCACGGTGAAACTGCCCGTAGATCCCCCCCCCGGCCTTCACGTGGCACACATGCGCCCTGGCCACCGGCCGCCACGGCACCGGGCCTCGGGCAACAGGATCGGAACCAGCGATCCCCCGGAGGGCGGGCGAGAGGGAGATTGCCAAAGGGGGGGGGGAATGTGTATATTCGATGCTTCGCGCCAAGTACGGAGAGACATTCTATGGGGCTGGGAGCGCCCCGTGCCTCTTGTCTCCTTTGTTCGACCGCATCGGGACGGCGGCGACGACAACAACCTGTGAGAGGGACGCCCGCCAGCGCCGGGGGCCGGCTAATCCCCCCCGGCAGCCAGCCAGGCCATCGAGCACTTGAGACGGAAAGAGGCAGCCATCGGCCGGGAATGGGGGTTGGAGTCCCAGGCAAGCGGCAGCATGTCGGCCAGAGGGTCAGCGGCGAGGGGGACCGAGCCACCGGCGTCTGGCCGGTCGCCGGCCAGGACCTGTGCCGCAATCTCCTCGAAGCCTTGGCCTGCACGCAGGCCCCGGGGGGGGGGGGGGGGGGGGGGGACATGGGGAGGAAGCGGAAAAGTTAGGCCCTGGCTCGGGGACGACGAGCGGTCGACGGGGGGAGACCGAAGAAAAAAGAAAACACCATCCCAGCACGCACCCTGCCACGGGACCCGGCGGTGGAGGCACTCCCACAGCAGCACCGCCGCCGAGTAGATGTCCGCCGGAAGGTAGAGCTCGGTGTCCAGCGGGCGCCGGCGCTGGAAGGCGGCCAGCACCTCGGGCGCCGCGTATCGCGCTGTCAGCGCACTCAGCTCGGGCGGCTGGTTGACAAGGGCCGAGGACCGGTCGGTGCTCAGGTTCCGCGAGGTGCCCAGGTCCCCGAGCGAGGCAGCCCAACCGCCATCCGCCCGGAGGGCTACGAAAACATTGCCGGGCTTCAGGTCGCAATGGGCCACCCCATGCGCGTGCATGGCCTCAAGCCCGGTGGCCCATTGCTGGACAATGTCCAGAAGCTGCACCGGCGACAGAGCCACATCCGAATGGAGCAGCGTGTCCAGGCTGGCCTGGAAGCGCTCCATGACAATGGCCGGTGGCGTCTCGGAGTAGCCGTACAGCTGCACCACGTTCGGCGCATCGCGCAGCATCCTGGCGCGCGTGCAGAAGGTCCAGTGTGAGAGCCGGCACGCGGTGATTCAAGCCATCCCGCCCCGGGCCTCGCATGGTGACGTACCACATGAGGGCAACCTCATTTTGGAAGAGCGGCGCCTGGCTGGGCCGCAAGGTGTCGGCTGAATCGCACGCAAAAAGGGACAATGGTTAAACACCGGCAGGGGGGGGGGGGGGGGGGCCCCGCGGGGGCAAATGCGAGGGAAGAGGGGCCACCAGGGCAGCTGGCCACCATGCGACCGAGGCAGGAAGGCGCACCCTTGAGGCGCTTGATGGCGACGGTGTGCGGACACTTGAGGCGATCGGAGATCCCGGCCCCGACGGCACGTGCGGCATAGACGGACGCCTGGGTCCCGGCGCCGAGGTTCTCCTCGCCGAGGGGCGAGAAATCGGCCATGATATTGACAATGATGCTGCCGGGCAGTGACAACTCGACAATTGTGTTGAGCACCGTCGCATGGGCATCCTCCTCGCCAGGGGACTTCTTCGCCGCCGGCGCCCGCCGGTGCCGAAGGAACAGCAACACCACGACCGCCAGCAACAACAGGACGAACAACAGGCCGAGACCGATGCCGAGACCCAGAGCTACAAGCGGCAGGGACCGGGAGGAGGGCAGGGCACAGGGCAGGGAGGGGCAGTGTCAGTCAACCGGAGCATCCACCGACCGGCGCTCGCGGCCGAAGCATCGTACCAAGGCGACCCCGAGAG